AGAAGAAGACATTAGATTACAACAAATTAAAGGACATCATTATCCTAGATAGATTTAAAGATAATATTTTCACGTAAGTTGCTTGATGGTTTTTTGGACAGTTCTTGATTGATTACAAATTAACGTAAGAGGGACAATTTTAATTACAATTTTATCCTGTATGACCTTAATTAAAATGGAAATTCTTCGAATAATGATACATGCACATTTAGGTTTCATTAATTAATTTACGTAACCATTTATGAAAAATAATGAAACGTTTTCAGAATAGATCCTACGGAATTCATCAAGGTCTCAAAAGAAGTAGTAAGTTTGTTTCCAACTGAAAGATCAGGAGCTTTTTATACTCCTCTTATCGAAATAAACACAAATAAGCAAGTTTCCGCTGCTAGTGTATTTCAGACGCATCACAAGCATCTGAAGGGTGAACTTCGTCTGGCTGACATTATCGTTACTCCTGAGGAGAAATCAGGAAAACGCTCGTCGACAACTGAATCAGATAGATGTTAGTAACACTATTACATTATCATTATTACATATCATCTACTTTTACATCTATATTGTAAAAGACTTGTAACGGGGTCTTCCTCTACTTATATATGCGTACATATACCTATGTATATCTATATTTTTTTAGGCCTTTCGAAAAATCCTAATCTGAACGATCCCAAGGCATATTTTCCATTATCTTTCATAGTTGATGAATGGACAGAGACATTTACGTTGAGACGAGATTTTTTGTTGATCGGTAAAGGTTAAGATTGTATAGTATATTTAAAACTGTACCTTGAAACGTATTCATGCATTCAACCACCTTTGGGAGTCTCGCTGGTAAGCTACAACTTTTATAATTAATATGTGCTTATCTTTTATACAATAATTTATCTTTTGATCGCAGCTTCAGAATAATTATTCACGATTATTGGAAGACAAAAAAAGTGGTGTACTATCATACTCAAGTTAAGAAGATCTTGAATCAAATTTAGTGAAACTTGGCTAACTATTGCGAAAAAGGTGCTTTTTCACTGCAAAACTTCGGAGATCAAAGAAGTAAAAGATTATTTATAAAGAGCATTGAATTTTGATCAAAGAAGATATATAAGCTTTAATTTTTTGACTCTAGACTTATTAGTCAGCTGTATTTTAATTATACAACTAAAAAAAAAAATTTGTTGGCTTAGTCAAAAATAAAAACAGTTTAAAAGCAATAATAGTACATTACGTCGCTGGAGCATAAAATAAAAGTAGCACGCCGGAAAGGCGTAGTTGAAATCCCCATGGGCACAAAACGCAGTGTTAGAATTGCTTCTACTACCTCTATGTCTGACTATTCTGAAGTATCTTAAAATTGCTAACGTTAAATCGGAACAAATTTCAAAAGATTTCATTTCGATAAATTTTATGTTACACGTTACGGCAAATAAGATTTTTGACTTTGAAAAAACATATAAGATTTTCAATTAATTTCTTTTGAAAATGTGTAAAACGCTCTAAACAATATTGGTTAGTCCTCGAAGCCCAAACTGCGCAAAAAAATAAGTGTCCAGAAAAAATAAAATTTGATTTTTTTAAGTTAAGATTTTTAAAAATATAAAGTGAAAATTCTTTGTAAGACCTTGACACCATTGATGATGAAATTCAAAGTGTTGTCAATTTTTTGTCAAAGTTTGATTTACCGCATTGTACATACATCATTCTTGGGGGCACGGTAAACAACATCAAGGATGTATACGTCGTCTTAAACAATCAGAAGTACTGCTTTACTGATCCGTTAAACGTGGTTGACGCTTGTTGTGAATGCATTGTTGCTTTGGACATATGTCTTTACGTTTGTGATTATGTATGGTGCATCATTCAAACTCTCATTTATAGCATTAAACCATTCAAATTGTTCCAATAGTCGAAAAGTTTGTCGCTGCAATCTGAAAGTTGTGACAAAATAGTTTTACGAACCTTTTTTCTGTTACAAACTATCATTACAAGGTTGCGTTTTTTTTATAATTATAATGACTATTGATCTCCATTTGAAAGACTATTTAATAGTGTAATATACATCTCATATGTTGAATTGTAACGAGAACGAATAAGAAGAGTGGTTATAAAACTGTAATATTGTTCATTTATTTTTTAATATTTTGAAAAATGGGTAATGAAAGTATATTTAGTTGTATTCTTGTTTTAACACTGATGCTTTATGCAGATACAAGTTTACCGCGTAAAATAGTTTAAATAGTAGTAAACTTAATTATAAACTTTATCAATAATATATTTTGACCAAAGCTATTATATACTGTTTTTCAAATATTAAAAAAATATGAAGTATCTAAGAATGCTCTGAAAAAAGTATGCCGTTGCTTCTTAAAACATGATTCTATTTTTAATTAATTTTATACGGAAGCAAAAAAATTTTCGATTTATAAGGAAAGGGGGCTTGTAGATTACGAAAAATTAAAAATTGGGGTTGTCTATAAAAAAATTAAAAGGCAATAAATTTAGAATAGTTCTAGAACCACGTTATGGTATACATGTGCCCCTTCGTTAAACACTCAAAATATTTTGAGAACTAAACAATAATCTTGACGAAATAATCGAATTCAAGAAAATTTTAAAACAAGTAAAGAACATTGCACCCAACATTATTCAAACTAAAAATTGGTCGCATTACTTTTCAGCTCATACAGATAATCTCGTTTTATTTTTAATGCTGTTTTATGATAAACTAGAAACCCGAAACGCATTAAGCAGCTGATCTGGAATCAACAAATTTGGAGCAACATATACTTCCATAGCGTGTCTTCCGTGTTCTTTAAAATCAAAATTAAGTAGTCTTTTATTTACGTTTCTTTTACGTTCAGTTGACATTAAGAAATTGGGGAATGGTCGTAACTTTAATCCGATAATTAACGAATTGAATTTCTCACAAAGTGAAGGCATTAGTGTTAGGCATAAAAATAAATCACTAAAAATTAAGTTTAAGCTAGTCTTGATTATGGGCGAAAATCTCCGCCTTAATTCGATTTTTGGATTTGTAGAATCATTTAAAGCAACTCACTTTTGCCGATTTTGTAAGTTAAAAAACACGGAAACGCAGATGTGCACAATAGAGAATCCGGAAAAAATACGAACGAAAAAGAATTATGAAGAGGACTTGAATGCCCGTGATACAACCTTGACTGGAATTAAAAGTCAGTATTCATTCAACACTATTACTGATTTTCACATTATACAGAACGTCAGTGTAATTACGTTTGCAATTTAAAATCTACTAAAAGTGTTTGGATGAAGTACCATCATCTAATAATATATCAGTAGAAATAAATGATAAACACTACATGTGTGCACATTATACTTTATGATTATAATAGCTGTAATAATGTATTACATGTAATGTACTTTTTTTTGTTATGTCATTAAAGAATTGGTTCTAACGCGCATTGTTTTTTACTTAAGTTTGCCAAAAAATCCACTCATGCTATTTAATATGATGTGCATGTATATATATACGTTGGCTCCCGCTTGCCTCTTTAAGGCTCGCAGCGAGCCCTGAGTTTCGGCGAGAAACTGTACCATACTATAAGGTGCACTGTATACTCTCTTGCAGGCAAGTGGCCGTGCTAGTCTTTTTTAGCTGCCAATAACTTGCCATTAATGGACCAGACAAGCAGGCAATCGCAAGCCATAACTGGCCAGTCACTGGCAGCCACTAATGAACCTTTTACTTCTTACTGGCTCCCAGAAACTTTTTCTGATCAAGATATTTTCTCATTGTCACAATTCTGAAATCCTTGGTTGACTCTATAGCGCAGAACGCTCGTATAAAAGTAAAACTTCAAAATCTATTGACATAACAATTATTTGTATAACTTTTGCGAAAATTCATTTTAAAATGTGAAATATTATGACTCCAGAAGTTAGTGATTAATCTCTAATTAGTACACGTGTATCAATTTCGTAACAATAGTTTATTCTATAAAAACATGACTGATGACTTTGAAGATTTAAAAGAGACACATAAGTATATATTTATTTACAGATACTGCAAATGTGCCGTGTTAAGTACACACTGTTTGCTAAAAAGTGCCATCGCTTCTGGGGCTATTTCGCTGCCCGAGGATCCTGCGAAGCAGGTTCAAAGGACCATGAAGTAACCCCGGATGGATTGCACTTGTGTGCCGAACATCGGTTTTCCTACCGAGGGCACACCCAACCCTTAAATAGTAATTTACTAGACGCAAAGTGTGCCCACTGGCTCGAATTTACCCTTGCGTCCTTGGCAAAAAAATTAACATACGTGATTCGGATACAAACATACAACGGCACCCTTCGAGCGCTTATGTTCGCACTTGGTCTCCTAGTGACGTAATGTACCATTTTTATAAAAAACTGATTAATCAAATCATCAATAATAATCATATTATTATTTATAAGTAGAAAGTCGTTCTGCTAGCTTTATTAATAATATAGAAAAATAAAAATTATATACTTATCGCACACTGACGTATTTAGTTATAAAAAACATAAACATTATGTAGGGTCATGAGAGGGTTGTAGAAATAAGGTAAGGTCTATAAGGAATTGTGAGTAAATTTATTAGGAATTTTTTGGGTTAAGACAATAGAAAAATAAAAGTAATTTTCCTTTAATTTGTAGGAGGTGTTTCATTTATTGCCAACCCACCCACATAACAATATAATATAAGTAGATAAAAACATATCTATACTCAGTATCTATACTAAATCTTACTTTTAGTCAAAAAGTATTTTCTGTTTCTTAATAGTATTCGTTAATTTAAATTTTAGTTGAGATGTAGTTAATATATTTTTAACAACTCACACGTTTGTGTGTGTGTGTGT